TCTGCAGTTTTTTCAAAATACTTTAAGTGTTTATGTAGATAACCACTTTTGCTCTGATTAAATTAATCAGATTAGCACAAGTTCTTGATTTTTTCAAATCAGTCTTGGATTTTAATTTAGTTCATATAAGGCAATCTCTTCATAATATTTTTGCTTGTGGAACAAGATATATCCAGATCATATATCAGGAATTTATTGGTAGTCCAATTAAAGGCACTGTAAAAGTCATAAGCAGTCCACTTAAAATGCCACCCACATTACACTCTAAGAATGCACATTTTCAACTAAGCAAACAGGAGGAAGCAGTCATGCACTTAAATCACTAAAAGACAAATTCTTTTACAATTGCCCCTCTTATCCAGGCTTTTTTCTCTTCTGGTCATGCATGGTTTCCTGGTTGCAGCTTGTTTTCCTGAGGCAAGTGCAGGGGAGCATGGTGGTCACTGTGAATTGTTAACATTCCGCATTCCCAGGGGAAGTGGGATGTTGGCTTTCTCCTCAATTTTTGGATTGAGTTTTGGTTTTGTAGTACCTATTGGTGTGGTTTTTTCCCATCAGACCTCTTTCCTATTGTCCAATAGTTTCTGCCTATGTGTGGTCTGTTGCTTGACAAGTTTAAATATTTGGATGTATGAAATGGCTAAGCATCAGCCAATACAATGCAGATGTATGAAGTGGATTGGTAGTGAATAAGGCCAGTGACTAAGCAGCAGTCACCTGACGTTTGTGGTTGTGATTAGGCTTTAGCCACTTGATCATTTTTCAGTTACAAACAGTAACAACACTTTACTAGGTGGGTAATTAGCCTTCAATCTGTGAATTCATTTTACAGCAGTAAATATGCTGGTGCATCAAAAAAAGTATTTAACGATTCATAGTGTCAAAATTAATAGACGAATATAAAGAATATACTTATTAACTGAAATATTTGCATCTATCTGCAAATCATGAATTTGATTAATATAGCTCTTCTGCAGTTTCTGCAGGAATTCAAAAAGAAAATGAGATTTTAAATGGACTGATGGAAGAAAAATGTTAAAGTCTTAGCAAAACAGGAACACCTTGGTTACTGTTCTGCAAAATCAGTCATACACTGCTGATATGGGATAGTTAAAGACCGAGGAACCATCATAAATCTTCCTGGAAGCAACTTGCTACTAAATATGTCACGAAACGTAGGCCACCAGGTTGACAAAGGGGATATTCCAGATATGTCTATTTGCTCTCATTTTCAGCTTCTTCTTTCCCTAAAAAAAAATCAGAGAAATAAAGACAGGAATAATGACTGAAGGGGATGAAAGTTGAATACTTTCTGGCAGCTTCTGGTTGTGGACAGATTCAGAATATTAAACAGATATATTCTTGTTGGAAGCATAACCAAATCTGTGCTAATGTTTGCAGAATGTTTCCAGCCCATCACTTAGACTAGAGTTCACATTTCCACGGGGAATTCAGAATTCTGCACTGACTGCAGTTTGGAGAATTGGAGACATTGCTGTCAGAGATCAGCAGAGTCAGGAAGCTCCCTGGCACTGGGACACTGGAGACTCCCCCAGTGGTTCATAACTGGGCCACACCCTTTCTAGGGATCTGGTTTGAGAAGAATTCCCCAGGTCACACAAGTTAGGTCTGAACAAAACATGGGTTGGCTTGCATTTGTATTGCTTAGTGACATTCTCATCTGTGCCAAATTAATCTGAAAGAGAAATAGCTATAACAGTTCCAAGCAGAGAGAAAGGCCACTATTGTTCAGCTGGATTTTGCCCCCTCAATGTCTTTTAGAAACTATTATGGCACTGCAGAAATACACTCTCCCAAACCATGTATTTGTAACCTAAGAGGTGAATAACATTTCTTCTAATTGGAAATGTTTTTGTGGAGTAAACCTCTCGTTGTAGAGATGATTTCATAATACAGAGGGAAAAGAGAGAAGTGCACCATGCTCAGGGACATAAATCTCTAGTTAATCTAGTGAACATTGTCTGAAGCAGAGATTCCCAGGGGCTCTCTCAGCACAACACATATTGCAAATAAGCATTTGAGAGAAGTCTTGATATTTTTCCACTTGGACCAATTTGTACTAAGATGGAAGAATTAAAGAAGACAAACAGTTCTTTAATCTTTAATTTGCAGGAAAACTGAAATATAAACAACTGACAAAGAAAATACCATTTTGCTATGCAAAATCCTCCTTTGTGAGTTTAAAATTCAGCATTAAAAGTTAAAAGGCATAAATCAAAGTGTTATATTTCAAACAATATAAGACATATCTGGAAGTAAGGAAGCAGGAACTTCTTTTGGCTTTTACTCCTTTTCAGTTGTTGCCTTACAACTGCAGTTTAAAATACCTAGTTGTAAATGGAAGGCTTTCAGTGATTATTAATATGCAGATAGTTTTCTTCTGATGAGACTCTTGCCTATATTTTTCAGTTGAAGTTTATTGAGTAACACAATGTTTGGCAGGATTAACATATAAATTGTTGACCATGAAAGCAGCTGAATATCTTTTGTGTTTCCTAACTTTTCTTTTAGATGCAAAAACCTTCTGATTCAAAATAAATCTGTATTTTCTTCACTGATGACAGGAGTGATTTCTTCAAAATAAAAAAATAGCTAATGTTATTAATTTTTTAAATAGTCCATGCATTTTGTGCCATCATAATGAATTTTTGAATGTGCCTTTCTGCATATGGGATTGGAATGGCATGCCTATGTTCATATTTAGTGTTTTGAAGAACCTACTTTTTATATTGTACAGCAATTCCTTATTCTGTGTATTTCTTACCTAGCAATTTTTTAATTGATTCATGTGTTCATAATTCCAGTTATAGATGCAGTGATTTTTTCTGGGATCTATTTGGTATACCTGAATATACTTTTACATATATCCCTATAGAGGTAAAAGGAAAGAAGTATGATGGAAAACCTTCAGATCTTTTTCAGTTTGGATTAGTTTTGGGCTCCTTATAAACTTATCAAATTTGTCATTTTACTGTTGGCATTTGCAATCACTAGCATTGAGGGCTCATTTTATCCCAAAAGAATCCTACAATGCTAATTGTTTTTGAGAAATTAAAGTATCAGTAAAGCTATTCTAGAATACTAGAATACCCACTACTCTTGCTTTTAGAAATAAATCACTTCAAATAACATTTATACTGTAGGAAGTTTGGATTCTTGGTATTTTATATAGAGTGAATTATTCCTTTGTTAATGCAGCGTTATTATTCTAAAGCTAGGAAGAAATTAGTTTTGACAATGACTACAGTAAATGAAATGTGTAAGACTGTTCTGCTGCCCTATAAAAGCATGCCAAACAAATAGACCCTTTTGCTACTTCTTTCTTTTTTTGATTAAGAAAAGAATAAAAAGGGTCCACAGTCGTGACCCAGTTTTGTGTTGGTTATTCAGTCAGATCTTCATGTGACTCAGATAAGTATATAGTGCATTGACTGAAGTTGTGCTGAAATTTTTATGAGTTGAAAACCTTCAATTTATTAAATTTCCCTTTTCCAAGCCCCCTCCCATAAAATATATAAATTATATGCAACACCATAATTTCATGAATTTATTAGAAAATATTAAAAATCTCATCAAGGACCTTATGCTTACTCCTTTTACAAAAGACAAGGAAGGTAGTTTCAAAGGCAAGATGAAGACTCAGAAAAAAGATACACCTTGTGTGTGAGAAAATACCATCACTTCTGTATCATGTGTTTTAAATTAAAAAAAAAAGATGTTTTTTACCAGAGAAATCTTATTTTCTTTCTATTCAACCCTCTATGGTTTTTGAACTGAGAATGAAAACAGGAAAGTAACACCTTTCATCTTGTGAATTAAAAATATCTGTTATTTTCTTTCTATTTTGCTCAAGTTCTATATCAAAATTTTGTAATGACACACTTCAGATATTAAAAAATATTCAGAGCAGTAGGATAAGAATAAAAATATCTTACTAAAATAAGAAAGTTTCCCTTCTGATTTCCCATCACAGTATAACTGCACAATACCTGAGGCTGTTCATTTCTGCATTATCACTTTGTTCTTATAATGCTCCTCAATAAATACATTATGTTCTTAAAGTTGTTTCCAAGGAAAAAAAAAACAAATTTGCAAAACTCAGTTTATGCAAAAATCACCTTTCTTATCAAAGAACACATGTTCATTTGGTTATAAACAGGCAATTCTTTAAAGTCAGGTTAGGAGCAGTGAGGCAGTGGGAAGCCATTTCATGTTATCTTTTAACATACCAATCTACTTATTGGGTTTTCCTTCCACCCACCCTCCATTCCCCCAATGAAATAAAACTTTACTATACCAAAAGAAGAGTATAATATATTTAATTTATATTTCATAGCACAAGGTGTTATGAACAACAAAAATGCTGAAAGTCCCCGTCAAACATCATCATTTAACAATAATAATTTAAATACAAGCAAGTTAGATAACTTTCTAGCTAAAAATAAACAAAATCCAAAGAAAATACCAATATTTTCTTGTGGAATAGAGTAATTCTGGACTGACATCTGCCACTGGCACAGTGTGCAGTTTCCTTTCACAGTAAATTATGTTGTCCTTGGGGCCACAGAGGAAAATGCAGGTGGGACTGAATTACCATCATTGCAGTAGGCAATTCTCAGTGGAAATGCATCTGGTTTAGTGGTTAGGACAGGATTTCAAGCAATGAGTGCTGTAAAATAATGATCAGAAGGACTAAAACCAAATAAAACAAATCACAATTACTAGAATATTCTTGACTTAGGGAAGTTTTCTAGATTGGATACATAACCAAGAAATCCCAGTTTAAGAAATTAACTATGCTGGGTGGAAAATTACCCTCAACAAAGTGACTGTGTTGCCAGAAAGATCATAGGGAATTTATGGAAGAATTGGGAAAGGTAAAAACAAAATAGAAGTGTTCTGACTGTAATATTATCATTTTTATATCTTCTGAAATATTTAATAAATTTTATATGGTTTTATGTGTTTTTATTCTACAGCTGCATTCCAATTCTGACAAAGGTGATGGATCAGTCAAATACATTCTTACTGGAGAAGGGGCAGGGACTATATTTATTATTGATGACACAACTGGAGACATCCATTCAACCAAAAGCCTAGATCGAGAGCAGAAGACACACTACGTGCTTCATGCCCAAGCTATTGACAGACGGACAAACAAGCCACTCGAGCCCGAATCTGAGTTCATTATCAAAGTGCAGGATATCAACGACAATGCACCAAAATTTACAGATGGACCATACATTGTTACTGTGCCAGAGATGTCTGAAATGGGTAAGGAAAACAAACTGTGCTATTCAACAGTCTTTTAACAAGTGCAAATGCCACGTACTGTTTGTCAAAGTTATCATCACATCATTGAGTGTATGTTAAATACATTGGAGTTAAGAGATGAGAAGAAGAGATGATAAGAAAACATGAAATACACCCCATATGTTACTTGTGACATTCACAGTAAGGAAACAGTATGCACACACACATGCTGGTTGTAAGAGAAGAGTCACTATTAATCTTGAATGTTTTAACATATATGTTTTAATGTATGTTTTAACATAAATTCTTTGGCAAATTGTAATTTCTATTCTAGAAAAAAGATGTATTCATATATCCTCATTCAACTGCAAACTTTAGGGCATTCTCTTAGGTTTACATAAGCATCTATATAATTCACAGGATTAAACACAAAGGAACAGTAGTTCCCTAGATTATTTTAGACATATGTTTACTTATCAAGTTTCTTATAAAGTGAACTGAAGTTCAAAAAGATACCAATCTTTGGTTTTCTCTGTTACGTCATTCAGATATTCTTATTCTATGATATGCTGCCTTATGCAATCAGTTTTCTTTATTTAAGACTTCTCTGGTGTTGAAGTTAGTATAAAACTTTCCTCTAATAGAAGAATTGCCAACAGTATTTTTTACAAGGACAAAAGTGCAGCATTTCTGTGAGTAATATCATAAATCCGGGACAATGCAAACAATAAATGTTTGTGTGAATTACCACAGTGAATGCATAGAGCTTCCAGTAAGAATATTCTGGCTCTGTACAAAACCTCTTCAACTGTCTTTGATAATTCACTGTGGCACAAAGTTCGCTGCTAGAGTTGCAGTTCATTTCAGTATCATCTAAGCTTTTATCTCAGTTATCTCCCATTACACCACAAGCTTTCTTAATGAGGAATTCATTTCCTTTACCAACTGTTTCCAAAAATGTGTAACTCCGTCTTTCTATTTCTTTGGTTTTCTTTGTCTTTAATGGAAACCATTTTAATTGATTATTTTCTTCACCTTTAGAGGCATTTTATTTTCTGAATTGGAGGAAAGATAATGGAAGAGAGATCAATATTATCTTCAAAATCAAAAGTAGCTGACATAATAATTTTTTATTTGCATTATATTCATGAAAGTTTTATTTTTCTTTCGTCTTCTCAATATTGAGAATTTTTCCATAAATGTAAGTCTTAATTCTGCAGTAATCAGAATTTAGTATTACTATTCAACTACATCATACATGGTACTGTTTTCCAAAGAATGATTTGAATTATCTGGGATGGTATTTTATGGTGTAAAACAGAGTGGATTATGGTAAACCAATGAAGTTTTACTAGTAAAATAGAAAATTGATGCTTCTGTTTTGCATAAAAGATTTTGATGTTGATGCTGAAAACCACCACACTCATTAGTACATTAACCAGGAAACCTCAAAATTAATAAAATTTTAAATTAGCAAAGTAAAACCACTACAATGTTTTATAAATAAAATACTTTACTGGTTGTACCTGAGGCAAATCATTAAAATATCTATTCCACAAGGCTTTTGTGTTGTGTGAATAAACCTGAATTTTCATATCCTAGCATACAGGCATTCTGTTCTAGGTATACAATATATTTTCATTGCAGCTTTATTATATCAATTTTCTTTTTTCTCCTCTCTTAAAGCATTTTTATTTTCTGCAATTTCGGGAAGACTAATTCTATTACTACTTCCACAGGATACAGTCTTTGTGTCAAATGATGGAGATACCTCTGTCACTTTTATTCTTTCTATAATTAGCATACTTTTTGACATTTAGCTGTGGAGTCTATACATAACTGAACTTGTTGATGTTATTCTGTGAATTTCTAAGGAGGTCTCACTCTGAATATTTCTTCTGATTTTTATATTATCATTTAAAGAGACTGTCTCTCTGCAACAGTTCTCACGCTAAGTGGCATTATTTTTGATCTCCATTATTTTGCTTAGTTTCAGCAGCAGGTTCTTGTTTGTCTCCTCAGGATCCTAGCTGGTATTTTCCCCACAAATTGAACTGAATCTAGTTGTAAAAGCTGTAGGACCTTTATGGCTTTTCTTTTTCAAGTCATGGACAAGTGAGTAGAGAAAAGTTTTGTTAATTTTTTTGGCAAACATTAGACCACAGTTTTCACTGTGACACAAAATAAACATACTATTTGTGCTTTATGTGCAATTCTGGGAGAGATGAAAGAAAATGTCTATTCCTTTCCTTCAATGAATCTTTTCTGTAAAATTTGGCTCAAGAACCAAAATTTATATCTGAAATTATTTCTTCTATAGTATGAAAAACTCAGTTACACTGAGATCCCTGTAGTCTGCTTTAAGGTTTATGAAAGTCATCTTTATGTAAATTAAAAGAAAATAGGAATATTTTTCAGTCAGTAAAAGACTTGCAGATGTGCTAATTGTCAGCTGCAAAATGAGTGAAAATCTCCATGCAAAATTTTTAGTGCTGAGATAGTTTAGAAGTGAGACTAGATGACTTCCTCATGACCCTTCCAACCCTAACAATTCTGTGATTCTCTGATAAGAAGAGTATTCCAAATAAATTCTGCTTAAGAAATTAATAGGCACAGTAGACATTTCCAAACTTCTTTTGAGAGTATTTCAATGTGGTGTAGTCATAATTTCAGATAATCTGGAAGACAATGTTGTTCATAAATATGATTTTTATTAGAAGTGCCTATTTGACTTCCTGTATTACGAAAATAAATCACGTTTTGTTGACTTGTTAGTGTTTTGAGACAGTACTAAGAATTCATTTAGTTAGGCAGACTATCCCTGCATTTATTAAACTTCATCTTTTTATAATTTCTTTTAATTTTTTTGTTAAATATTGATCCATTTGAGATTCAATAGTATAGACAACTATGAAAAGTAATGCATGAATATTTACATTCTCAACAGATGTATTTTATGGAACTGCCTCAATAAAAATTAAAAATTTGTCTTCAGAGAGAGCAATTGCAATATTCTCTTTCAGCTTTTCTTTGAGATATAGCTTCACAAATTTTTTCTTGCAAATTATATATATTAAAAAAAAAAAGAGAAAAACCAAATGGAGATATTTTGAAATAAAATACAATTTTGTTCCCCAATTGAATAATTTTTTTTTTTTTTAATACTAGGAAAAAAAATGACAAAACATACAAAGTGATGTTCAAAGCATACAGACATCTTTTACAGCTCTTTATAAAGCATTAACTAAGAAAACAGAATGCCCAAAATGTAAGCTCTGAAATGTAGCTGGAGAGCATATGAAATGCTAGTTGTACCCTGAATAAGCAGAGACTCCAGTTGGGGGAATAATGCCATTTTTATTTCCTAACTGGAGTGACAAAATTCTTTCATAGCCAAACTTTCTTGACAGGAACTTTTTCAGTAAGTTAGTAAAGGAAGAATAGAAGGTATGGGTCTGATGTTCATATCTCTCCTGTGACGTCCAGAGAAATTAGATCCTTATCATTTGTAGCTGATTACTTTTTATTTTTTTTTTTACTTTTTAACATTTAAAATAGCAAGAGAGCACTACTGTATAATTCTCTATCTAAATCCTTAATGACACTTAGCTCGACAACAAAAAATTATGCTGCATCTAAATGATACAAATGTATCCAGAATTGTGATATGAGAGTTTGAGAGATAGACTGGGGGGTTGAGTTCAAATTTGAGATTCTAATGGTTCTTTTAGGTAGAAAGAGAACACTTTGCCACTATTTGATACTAAATTGCTATTATCAGGTGTTTCATGGGAGAGAAATACAGCTGTAGTAGAAAATCACCGTGGCAAATTTTTGGATACAATGGCATTCCATTCATGCTAAAAAGACCAGTCAGCTGCTTATGTCAGATGCTGCCTTTCACTTGTTTTGTTTCTTTTCTCTCACATCAATGAGTTATACAAGCACTAAGATTCTTTTAAAATAAGGAGAGAGAAGAAAGTCTTCAAAGAAGGAGAGAATTATGAAAACACAAGATTTCTGATTTTTTTTCTTCTGAAATAGCCAAAATACTTTTATCAAGTTCAAGACCTATCTTGATTTCCTAGAATTCTGGGGAAATCGCTAATGGAAACTCACATGGTTGGTAACTGTTTTCCTGGAAAAGGAAAAACTATAGACTAAAAGGTGCAGAAGTTGCCCAGCATTCTGGATAGTAAACTTTGGTAGGTGATTGACTATTCAAGTTGAATGGATATGCTTTTGTTTTACACGACTGCAAAATAAAATCATTCTGCACCCATAACCTATTAATCTTCAGTGATTCCACAAGGTTGAACCATAGAAGTTCCTCTCAAGCTAGAAATTATTTGCAAACTGGGCTACAGAAATATATCATTACAGCATTCCAATGTAATGGACTAGCAGGGGGAAATATCTGTTCCTAGAAGTGACCTCTTCTTCTGTGTTTAGATAGCAAATAAATAGGCCTGAACTGATTTCTAGAACATTTTAAGAAAAAATACCTGAACTTTCATTCAAATTTGTTTACCTTTCCACATGAACACAAACACAGTAGTTTAGTTACCTGTAACATTAACATCTGGATAATTGTGAACATACAACTAACTCCAGCTTGATTTTCTTACAATATTCCACTTCAAAGTCATCCAAGGATCCTTATACTTGGTTTTTTAATACATTAATCTGTGAGACTGTATACACTTGGGCTTTTCAGAGACCAGAAGACACTGTATTTAAGTATGCAGAGCATATACATACAGTTTTACTAAGTCTGCAGTAGAGATACAAACAGCAGCTCTTGGTATTCACTTTTAACATGGTAAAAGTGAATTAAGAGTTTCTCAAAGAGGGTAGAAAGCAAGTCTGTGAAGGTTTGCATGGTTAGTTTGCTGCACCGGAAGTGAGGCTCCATGACTTTACATCCTTCTAAGTCAAGAGCATACTGAGGGTGTGCACATTAACAAATGTTTCTGTGCAATGGAAATTGATCTAAGAGGCTGAACAACTGGAACAGAGAAACTGATGTCCATGCCACATATATTTGTGAAATCTTGTTTTAAATTAGCTCTTGCCTGGTCTCTGAGATTATGTGCCTTTTAGCAGTCAGAATAAATCAGATGTGCTGCTGAAGCACATCTCCTGGTTTAGTTGCATCTGAAGAAATCTAGGTAGCATGCTCTGAAACAGTTCTATAAGGAAAATGAAAGTACAACAAATGAAGGAGATCAAGGGTTTCAATTCAGAAACACACTTCTCCTCTCCAGTAAATGTGAAATTGAACACCTTAGAGTTTATGTGATACCTCAGTGGTTAATTTAGATGAGAATCTGCTTTCAGATGCAGAGTTATGTGAGAGCAGCCTGTCCTGTTATTATTACAGTATTTTAATGCTGGACCAAGGAGCCTGTATAAAGCTGTGTCTGCATAAAGATAAACAAATAGAATGAAATCTGAGCTTTTATTAACTCACAATCTTACACTCACTGATTTCTTATGGGAAGTGTTTGGCAGTGATAGCAAAGATTCATCATTACATGCCTTGAAAAGTACACTAAAATGAAAAAAATCACTTGTCTCCATTCTATCTGTGCAGTATTTATGCATTTCATTTTCTCAAAAGGGTTACTCTTAACTTATCCCACCTAGTGATATGCTAGAAACTGTGATTTTATTCTTCTAGTGGTTTTTATTACTAGCATAAAAAATAATTGTCTTTTGAACTCATCTTTCTAATTTGCATCCCCAAATAGGTTCTAGAAGTTATTTCATTTTCAGATCTTTGATGCCTTCCAATAGCTAGATTTTTTTATTCATTTAGCAACTTTTATTCATTTGGGAGCATTTTTACAAGTTACTTTTCATACTTCAATGTTAATTTGTATTGTGGATAAAGATAATCCTGAAGTCCATTAATCTGTGTTTTTTAGAAGTCAATATCCAAGTTTGGGATCTATGTGTACAGAACATATTTAAATATGCATGCTATGTACTTACTATTTATATTTACATCTCTGTAATTTCTGTTTAAGTTTGTATGTGTGTAAACAATTTACACATACACATATAAAGACAATTATTTTTCAAATTAGTGTAACTATTTTTCCTTAAAAATTATATTATGATAGCATGATATTAATCTCTCATTTTTTAGAATGTGAGGATTTTAGAGCTTTTAAAAATGTATTTGAAAATATTTGTTGGAAAATTTTATTTATTGCAAGTTAATGTTTATTTTCCTATATATACAGGTACATCTGTTCTACAGGTGACAGCCACAGATGCAGATGACCCCACATATGGAAACAGTGCCAGAGTAGTGTACAGTATTCTTCAGGGACAGCCATATTTCTCTGTTGACCCCAAAACAGGTGGGTATTTTATATTTCTGTTGAAATGATTTAGCTATTATGTTGCAGTTAATTAAGTCTGGTAGGTGAAATGCAATGTACACAATGGTGATATGTGGACTTTTTTTCCCAGTGTTTTTGTAGGCTGCTTCTTACTTTAGCACTATGAAATTTATAAGTTGCTATGTTTTGCTGAGTACTAAAATGAGCCTGCTGTGTACAGAATTAATTCTGCATCATGTCATGATGTGAACCATTCAGCCAAACTGCAATAGCACTCTTTCATCTTTTCAAGCTTCTGTTTAGGAAGTGACTCAAGTATGCCTAACACATAATTTTCAATGCTTTGTTTTGTCTGTAGGATAGGCTTGGGAGGATTATTGGATGTATGTTTCAACACATGTGCCAATATAAATTGTTACAATTTGTGTTTTTTATAAAACCTCAGGACTGCCATTTAACTGAAAATTCAAAAATTCATTCTATGACTTGAGAAGTAGAATGAACTGAAATATTTATGCTTAAACTCTATGCATCACCCTTTTTTTTTTTCTTTCCCACAAAGTGTAAGTCATGTATAACGTATCCAAACTGTTGTATTTAAAGAGAGGAAAAATCTCTTTTGGGGATGGGAATTGTTATTAGTTTGTGATTTTTTGAAGAGCATCATTATGATAATGATAATAACATGGTTATACATTTTAAGTGTGTATTTAAAGTCCTCAATAGTTGGTAAATAGAATTTAAGAGAGTATATTTTTATTTAAATTTTTGACCGTTTTTCCCTGTCTATATCAAAGCTTTAATACTGAAGGGAAAAAATAGAGCACACAGAACAGTGTAGTTTTCCCTAGTTAACTGTAGGGAATAATAATGAGTGCTGGAGTGAATTAACTATAGTGTAAATGGTTTCCATTTTACTGTTTTTGTACTTAAGTTTCTTGGCTTTTGTACACTGGTCTCTGTGGTACCTGGAAATGTACCCTGGTTTTACTACAAGAGAAGTGTATCTGTGCCATCTCAGAGAGCTTTGAGGTTAGTGCTGCTTTAATCAGGAGACCAAACTCCATGATCCTCAGAGGAAGGTCTGTCTCAGCCTAAAATTTTCAATAAGTTTGGGGGGTCATGTAAGAAAGGCCTGGAATAGAAAATCTATGGTACAGTCCTCACGTTCTCCTTGCCCTTAGAAATATAACTAGTTCATATTTCTAAAACTGTTCAGGCACTCTGAAGCAATAGCCTGCATTTTTTATTTTTATAATGGTGTAGAACTTGTAGTCTGGAGCTGCTATTCAGTCAGTGAAGAATCATAATGGAAATTCTCTGTATCAAGTCTATATCACACAAGAAATAGTATTGTTGTATGTATAATGAAACAACAGATGGTAGTGTATTTTCACTCCTCAAGCCTTAGGCTTTGACAGGGATTTAATAACACTTTATGAAGTTAAAGTCTTTTTGATATTTGTGTAGAATATGAAAATTATTCTGAAACCATAGTCTATGAAAAAGTGAAAATGAGATAAATAGTGTGACAGTGAAAAAACAGGAGGAAGCTTTTTGATTTTATATGTTGCCTTTTTATAATTGCAGAACAGCAGTTAATTTAATTTGGCATGATGAAATGGGAAGAAGAATATTGGAAAAGATGGGAAAGTCTTGATGAATAGCATTTTTCACTATAAAATTTCACTTTGAATTTTTGGGGTTTAAGACTCAGTTTTTAAAGCATCACTCTTCTGAATTTGCTAGCATTTCTTTGACTTTTTTCCTAACACCTCAATTGTTCAATTCCAGCTTAACTATACTTTATTTGGAAGTCTTCTGAATTTACATTTACATGCACAAACTTCCTTTAAAACAAAGGAGGTCCAAAAGTGGCAAAGAGAAAGGTCCCAACATTCATGACTGAATGTTTTTTATGCAGCCTAAGGATCTGGCATCATGATCAGTAAAGTTTCTTGAAGCTATCAGAAATAGATATCAAGCTCTAGTGTGAATACTCATCTTAAAAAGTCTGATACTTCTAGCTTAGTACTGCCTATACTTGGTTTTAAACAACTTAATATCTGAAGACTTTAAAGATATGGATTTTTAGAAGCTTAGGTTAGAATAGTTTAAATAGTTTAAATTTTTTTAATAGTTTAAATAGTTTAAATTTTTAAAATAGTTTAAATAGTTTAAATTTTATAGAATAAGGCTATAAAATTCCTACATTTAAAGTATAATAAGGCAACAGCACCAAATTACAAACTCTGAAGCAGGAAAAAAGTGTGTTCGTGGCAGAAGAGCTTTGTCAACTTACCTGATAAAAGGCTCTTCTCCACACAAAGTGGGGCAGAGGAGCAGTGCAGGGAGAGTAAAACCCCCTGCTCTAAATAGACTGGAGCCTGAGCTCCTCCTAGGGTTGACCCAGGACAGCCTCACCCTATGGGCCAGGGTTGAAACCCATCATGACAAATCAAAAGGCACTGCCCTGATCACCCTTTCAATTGAGAAAGCTACTGCTTACAGGGCTATGGGACACATTATGAGTTGCAGATAATGGGAATCATGCAGACTTACTCCTGGATATTTGGAGGAAGGACCATAGACAGGGAAAGGGATGATTGAGATGGAGTGGGGAGAGAAAAGCAAGAGAAAATGGAGAGGTAAGAGGATAAAAGGGACCAGCCATATGCAATATGGCTTTGCTCAGCACTATCTGGCCATGCCCTGCCCTGGATCAGCAGCCTGTTCTGTTTTCTTATGCTCCATTTCCAGCTCCATTTCCTGAGTAAAAGGTCTCTCTCTCGCATGCATGTGTGAGTGGAGATTTAATTGCTAGCAGCTGGAGCAGGACAATGAGTTAAAGGGGTCTGGTGTGTGTCTGGTGTCAGGAAACTGGAAAATGCAGACCATAAGTAAATTACACAGGTGTCTATGCCAGCATGGTATTACTACAGGGTCAGCAGTCTGGATGAGTGGTTTGCGTGATGGATATCCATTTGGTCCAATGTCCAGACCAGAAAGCTCAGGAGTCAGCTGTTGGAGAAGCCACGACCAGTCTAGAGTGACTGTGTGGTATGTGGTTTGGTAGTCCAGTTTGTAGTTGTGTATCTCTGTGCATGAGGCAAGGGGAGACCAGGGAGCCAGGAGCCAGCTGGATGGCATTGGGAAGTGAGGGCCCAAGGGATCCAGGTACTGCTACTGGATGTACTCAGTGTGTAAGGCTGTGGGGGATCAATAAGTGTACTGGGCTGAGTGGAGATGTCGGACTATGTCGAGGATAAAAAGGGAATCTGTACCTGGAGCTGGAGGGCAGTTGAAGGCCCCAGAGTTTTATGTCCAGATGGTGCCGAGTGCAAAGGTTACTGGATAGACCAAATATGACAAGTTACAGGAGCTATCCATGCTGAGTTGTGAGTATATTTCCAATCATAAATCATCCTTCCTTCTGGTCAGCTGGAGAAGAATGAGGCTGTTTGTGCTGTTTGTGTTTGAGTGCTGAGCCATCCCATTTGCGTGTCACCCGTTGCGTGTTGCATCTGTGAATGTGCCTTGTGGGAACAGCGCTTGACCTCACATTGCTTCTAATCATGGATTAAAAATAGGAAGGTGCAGCAACCTCATCTCCATCAGGCTGCCAACAATCTAGTTTATCAGTTGATTTGCTCTAAGACCTGTGTTTTGTTTTGTTTTCCTCTGGGGAAAAATTGTGAATTCTCTGCATAGAAATTTGCTGCAACTATGTAATTTTGGCTGTGAATGTCAAAACTACTTTCCATGCATAACCTAAAGACTTTTAAGACTTTCAAAATCCTTTGATATTGAATGGCTTTCTATTAACTGCTCTGTATTTGTGTTTATTAATTACTTTTGGTAATTAGCTGTGGAGTGTAATAGTGACTAGTTATGTAATTAATAATTACCTGCAATAGCCTCTAGTGTTTACTATTTGTTTTCCTCCCCATCTGCAGCAAAAGCACTCTGCTGAAATTTTATAACTAAGAATCTTCTAATAATTATGGCAAAAGAGAGGGAAGGAGTTAATGTCTAGATCTTATGTATATTTGCAAAGATTATACATATAGGATTGTATCTATTCTTAAATCAAAATATTTAGGGAACCCTGGAAGACATTAAATGCTTATACTTTTAGAGTATCATTAACTTCTCTGTAAAGAGAAAATAAAAAGCGAAGTTTTTAGTTAACAGGGGAGCAAATAATTTATTCAGGTACTTAGTGTTTTAATATGGTTCTCCCTTCTCCTACTCCCACCTTTTCACATGTGCAGCCCCTCCACTACCTGCCTTCAAACTTTGAGCATCTTTTGAAATGCCTAAATACACATGAAGTCTTTTCTGGGGAGTTTGAACTGCAAATTCAATATTCAACCTTTCCCAAATCATGAGGTCTTTCTATCCATAAACTTGATCTAGGATCGATCCTTGCTTGTTCTTTGCTCATGTGAAGTGTGGCTCATCAAACAGCAGCAGCCAACATTTGACTGGTAACCCAGCCCCGGGAGCTCCTTTGTTTTCTGAGGAAACCTCAAGTTAGACTATGGGCTTATAGTTGCAGCTATAGCAGCACACTTTCTATTGCTACATGCTTTGGGAATGAAAGAGAAACCTGTAGTCTAATTTGACTGCTTACATGGTAAATCGTATTTGGAGTATGTCAGTTCCACCCAGCTCTTTGCAGGTACATGTGTCTTTCTGAACCACATATACAGAGTGAAGCAATGTGTAGGGCAGATGTCTTTTCAAATCAGCAGTTCTGCTGCAACTGTTATAAAATAAGGGATAAAACCGTCATTCATTGCAGTTTTGAATTTAAGTGTAGACATTGGCAGGACAGATAACTCATTTGTCATTGAATTGAATATGGAAAAAACCTCAGATATTTGTATTTATAATGTTCTGCTGTTGCATCAACAATATTACAAAGATCTTAGTCATGTATAAGATTGTTTGCCTGGTTTTTTGTTTTACTTTAAGATGTTAAATAGTAAAGAAATATGTATTTCTATTTATCA